TTTACCCATTCCTCACAAATCAAACTTAAATTATACTTCAGGATCATAACCTATAGCTCTGATACCACAACTTGTAACACCCCCGTCCCGCRTGGTSAAAGACGGGAGATGGCACAATTGGAATAAAACAAACAACGTGTTATATAAACCAGAGCGGCTAATAAAATTTACCAAAAGACAATTACATAACCACAGACGGAGATAACGTGTCTCAAAATACGGTCCCAAAATATCAATATGTCTACATTAGTCATCAAAAGTTTAAACAAAAGTATGACTTAATGGGTTATCTTCAATGTTGTCATCTCCGTAGCTCATCCCAAAATCCCTGCTAAGTCATGTACCTGCCGAGGACAAGAAAATCTCGGCTGAGTTTAATGCTCAGTGAACGGATAATAATACAACTAAACAATGAATATGAGATAACAAATTCAAAAACAATTTTAAACGTCAAGTGATAATCCAAAAGAAAGTCAAAATGCCCCAAAAGCATGTCAAGAGTTCGAAGACCAAACCGCATCACGAGGACGCATTGTTCCCAAAAGATGATCAGTCAATTCAGGCACAAGTGAGGAAAGGGGTGTGAGCACAACACAGCAATCCTCTTCGTGGATTTAACCACGGCCATAATTCAATATCCGATAACGGTTCCTAGGATCGATCCATACGCCCTCTATTCGACCGGTACATAATCAAGTCCACTTTTAAGGACTATAAAAATAAGGACGTCATGATCGTTTTAGTCACCATGGAAACATCTCAATACCGGTGCTCCAGTTATTGAGTCTATAGTAAAATGTTTCACAAATAAAGCAATAAAACAAGTCAAGTGATCAAAATGATCCATATTCCGAATAAGAATATAAGTCGTAGTTCAAAAGGAAACAAAGTTCAATAACATTTGATAAGCATAAAGGAAATTCAAAACAAATTATTCGGAATTTATCACAGATTATCTGGATTAAGAAGCCTTACGCAAATGGCTATCCCCATGTCAAGTGAGATATGAAATCCGTACCTTAACCAAATTTGACAATTAACGCACGATCAAACGGAAATTCACGATCAAGTTTGACTTGCCCGCGTGCCTAACGAATGCATAAACGGGTTACTATTTATAAAGCATAGAAACCATAATATAACTATTCTGATAAATTTACTTAGGTCTTAATGTACTTGATACGAATTGAAACTCAAATGGAAAAAGTTAACCTTATTCTCTTTCGATCCAACCGTTTCCGACCCTCTTATTTCTAAGCATTTTTATCTTACTTAGAGACCAATCTAGATTATGTTGTCTAAATGAAAGTTGTAGATTGGTATCATACGAGTCTAATACTTTTGAAATCATCTCATTTGGATCATCCATCTATTTTATATGAATTTCACAAAACTGTAAATTAATCCCAGATACAGTGTAAACAACCCCAAAAACACACTGTTCCGAGCCACCTAGAGTCATAACTGGAATTTTGACCCTTAATGAAAGTTGTAGTATGCAGTATGATCTTCCTGACTGCAAAACACGAGCGTATTCCGACTTACGGTTTGTGAGTTATACACTGTCAAAGTACAGGAGGTGCTTTGTCGGTAAAAGTCGATTTCGTAATTTCCGACTAACTTTTATGATCCAACTTTCATGATTCGCTACATTTACATATTATAAACGTACTTCAACATACTAAATAGAAAAACAAGTCCAATGGTCGTTAACCTAATCTTAATCATGCATTTTTACTCCTTTCGACATTTAACCGAACAATTGGTGTACGGTTAAACATATACCCACAATCTATCCATATTGAAACTATAATATACCCTTTTTATTTCTACATCAATATAACCAGTACTAGCATCCTAAACATCAAATATACCATGATTTTGACAAAATCAATCCGTAAACTTAGATATAAACACAGTTTATAAACCAGTCTAAATAACCCTAAAATAAACACCTGAATGAAACTGAATGAAACTTATACCTTTAAAAAGGGTTCGGAAAGTGGATTCCGAATATATATTTGTTGTCTTGATTCCCTTAGTAATTTGACGTGAAAATCAGAGAGAAATCAAAGAATTTTAGAGAGAGAAAAAGAGGCGAGAGATTGAGAATGCATGGCGGTTCATCACCGCCTATATATATAAAGTTTAATCAATTGGCGACTTTAACCCTTCAAGTTAGATTCTCAACTTTTACGTCAAATTAGATATAAACTCATTTTTGACGCAAAATTCGTCTGAAGTATAAGTTGGTATAACATAGGGTACAAATATGTTATGCATAATTCTACCAAAAATTTACTTAACCCAGTTTGTACGAGTTAACGAAACACGGATATTATATGTATTCTAGTCATAAATATCATATTTCATCAACCAAAATCCCAACTAAAGGAACAACTTAGTTTTGGATCAAGACTTAGAAATAAACATTTCCCAAGTGTTAAAAACCATTCCCTATACTTGTTTGATATTTATCAAAATTTACCAAATCCCCAAATCAATAAAAATTTTACCCCAGATGATCAAACAAATATAGAATATGTGTAATAGAAACATAAAAGAAGTAAAGTACATCATTTATAACATGTATATGGTTTTATAAAAGCGAAGGATAAACTCACAATACTAGGTTTTTGATGAAAATCAAGGAAACCCTAGAAAGGTAAGAGGAACTTAGATGCTTGATTTCACACTTAAAGCTTCTTTCTAGACTCCTTAAATACCCAAAAGCTCTTCAGAAATCCTCCTTAAATGAGCTCCAAAACCAACTAAAATGAAGGGAGACAAGTGGATGGCAGCAAATGAGAAAGGAGAAAGGTAGGTGTAAGAAAAAAACGGTTCAAAGAAGCTGCAAATTGGATTTTATTGTGTTGGTGCCCCCTTCTAGCGACCCCACCGTGTTATAGTGACAGTGTCACTATAGCCGGGCAGTATAGCCCCAAATGTACCGCGGCCGGTTGATACCCATGCTATAGTGACTGTCACTATAGTTGGGCACTATAACTCCAAATGTATTGCAAGTGTTTTCCCTATTGTCATCCCTTGAATCTTTTCTTCTAAAACTGATACCCAAAGCCATCTAATTTCTAGACTTTAAAACCAAACCATAAAAGCAAATAAAGATTCTTAAAATTCTTATTACCGAAATTTTCGAGTGTTATAGTCTATCTCTTGAAACAATATATGACCAAAAGAGCATGTTTAAGTACTAAGAGAATCTAGTTCTAATGCATGTTGATTTAATGGTGCAGTATGGCATCAAAGTCTTTGTAATCCCACCATTTAAGGACACATGATACATTGAAATCGTTTCAGGTGTTTAAAGGTCAAGTCGAGGTATTATCATATAGGATGATATCGAAATAAGATATATGCTCGGTCAAATCATCTGTATGTACATAAACAACTTAAATAGAAGTTATGGGCCCTTTTTTGGTAGAAGTAATTCTTTCTTGTAAAGAATCCATTAATTTCATAAAATGTTGATTTAAATTCAACTTCATGGGACTTACCTCATTGATGATTCTTTCACATCCCATCCTTATTGGTTAATCTTTGATAATTCTTTCACATCCCATCATGATTGGTTACACTACTAGAAAACAAGGTATGAGATACGGAAAAAAATATCTCGCTAATCAACAAGAGAAAGGCCAAAAACATATTCCCTCGCAGATCAGCAAGGGATCAACGACGGACGACCCGTTTAGCAACGGATTTGCAAATGAATTTTCTCTTGCTGATACTCTTCATTTTTGTAGTGGAATTAATCTTGTTTTGAGTAATTTTCTTAAGCTTTTGGGAATAGGTTCACTACAATTCAATATATCTCGTGAAAGGTAAATAACATGAGGCATTGATGTAATGAAGATTTGAGTGGCTCTTCCACCTTTTATGTCATCATACTCCATGCAACATAGTTTCATCTCAACTTTTATAGGGTATATGTTGCCTAAACTATGCCATACAACCTTTTGTGTTTTCCTTTCTCAAAAAAATTACCACTATTGCATGTACGTAAAACATGGTAGATTGCGGAACAAATGAGAAAAGTAATGAAGCAGATCGTAAGTGAAACTGATACTCTAGTTAGCTTTATCCCCTACCCTCCCGATTTTAGCCGCACATTGTGTCTTTATAATTCAGATTACTCTATTTAGCTATGTGTGGATATAAAAATATGTATTTTAAAATAAAATTAGATACTTTCGATGAATTTTAGATAGAAATCCGTCACAAATTGCATGAAAATCCTTTGCAAATGTGAACTACGGTTGACCAAGTTCCGTCGAAAATCCCATGAAAATAAACTCTGTCGAAAATCTTTGAAAAAATAACTTCCATTGAAAATCTCTAAGATTAAAACCTATCATACTAGGCATGAGAATGGACCCCGGCCCATCGGGGAACCCGGTTCATTCGCCTCCGTCGGGGACGGGGATTCCCCGCTAAATCGGAGATGGGGACGGAGATCCCCGTTTGTCTCAAACCGAGGATGGGGACGGGGACGCATATGGTACGCCCCGCCCCGCCCTGCCCTGCCCTGCCCCATACCATACCCGTTATATATATTAGTTAATAAATTATATATATATATATATATATATATATATATATATATTATTTCAACTAAAGCGGTAATTTATAATTTTCTATTTTCTAGCTAGTTTTATAATTAAAAATTGTTATTTTTTTTATATGTTAATATATAATAGTTTAGATGTCAAGTCAAATACAATTACACGATAAGTCTTGTATATGACTCAATATTTTTTTATACATGTGACTTTAAATTTTTTTGGATTAAATTAATTTTTTTTTTGGTTTTAAGTTATTAGTTCTTATATGATGTTGTGATTTTTTTATATTAAAATAAATTCATTTTGATTTTAAATTTATTGAAAATGTTTGACATTTAATCATGTATGTTCTCTCACGTATTTAATTTAAAATCAATTACATAAAGGAAAAAAAAAATACTCTCCTTCAATTTATTTGTAAAAAAAAACATATCCTTCAATTTAATTAAAAGGAAAAACATGTCCTTCAATTCATAGAAGCAGATGAAACACCAACAAGAATAGAAGGTGATTTAACAGATTATTTAGCTTTAAGTCTCAACGTCAAAACTTTCAGCGCCAAAAGCACAGATTTCAACCTCTCTTTAGCTTGAGGATCTATCAGATTACCTTCATCATCGAACCTTGAAGGAGCTTCAAACACATTCAGAAAAAACTCCGGCTGATTCACGAAATGAAGATCTACGTAAATACCGCATTGCCGGAGAACATACTGTGACCGACCTCCACCAAATCCGCCGCCGGCACTGACTATAGCAGCAGCCTTATCAGCCCACACGTTCGGTGGCCTAGATGCCCAATCGATTGCGTTTTTCAAAGGAGCAGTCACGGAGTAATTGTACTCGGGAGAAGCGAATAGAAAACAATCAGATTGAAGAATTTTCTGACGGAAAGCCTCTACTGCAGGTGGATACTTGCCATCGATTTCGAGATCTGTGTTGAGCATTGGCAACGGCGACAGGTCAACGTACTGGATCGACATTCCTTCTACAGATTGCTTGGACAAATCAATGGCGGAGCGGATGAGGCTATGGTTGAAGGAAGCTTTGCGAAGGGAACCGCAGATGGCGGCAACGTTGATGATGGGAGGTTTAACTACAATGGCAGACTCCATTTTCGATTCTGGAGATTATGTGAGAGACCGGAGTATGTGAGGTTGAAATAAAGGGACGTGAGACGGCGCTATCCCAATTTAATTACTACTTTATATATATATATATATATATATATATATATATATATATATATATATATATATATATATATATATA